TTTAAAATGGCTTGTACTGATTGAGAGTGGATAAAGACTATGTTTCTAAACAGAGAGAGCTCAGGATTCTATAGACTGTTATGGGAGGAAGTAAATTATTCCTAACTTTGCAAAGCATGGGACCTACTTTAGAAGAACAGTTGCCTTGAAGTGATAGCTTTCTTAATCAAGAAGAAATTAATATCAAAATCTATACTGAGGATTAATCTGTTAGATGTAGTACAGAGAAACTGGATGGCAAGCATATGTGGTTTTGCAATGGCTTTCAGTCTTCTAATGTCACTCCAAAAAAGGCTGAGTTTATACCTGTTAACATGGAGGTACTGCACAGAACTTGGAAACCCAATTATTTTGGGCTGAGCAGATTTCACTGCTGAGACAAATTAATCTCTTTCAGTGAAACCCTTCCTGGGATTCCTAGTCCTTGGTTTGATACTGCCTGATATGTTTTGATTCAACCTTACTGAATTTCTAAAATTGCTACCTCTGGAGTTTTTGTCTCCAGAATAGCAATAAGCCTAATTTTTGGTTCAAGTGCTGCCTGTGGAGTTAAGTAGAAATTTCTTTTGTTTAAACTTGATAAACTACTTCTGAAAGTGTTAGTAAAAATGTTATGGATGGCTGTGTGTTTGGACACGCTGCTTTCACTATTCTTCTGTACAAATGGAAGAGCCAGAGAGAACTCAGGATTGAGTAAAAGGTTAGCAGAATGCGTACAAATGTTCTTTCTTTTGCCATAGGTGAATCTTTTCTTCCATAGGTCCATTGCCTGTCATTGCTGCAATACCCATGTTCAAATCTGTTTTGGGTATCTTGAGCATCTCGTACTGACAGTTGAAAACTTAATTCATGGTCTAAATGATCCAGCAGTTTTCTGCTAGATATTAAGACTTTTGCTCAGGAAGGACAGCTGGATTTTCTTAACCATTGAAAACATAATGTTTCTCGATAACCAATTTGCACAGACTTCATTAAGTTTTCCTGCCTAGATTTCTGGAATTTTGCATGGAGTGATGGTGTTACCATTAAGCCAGAAACTTTAATCTGAAATTGCTAAAGTCAGTCCTTGTTGGAGGAGACTTCAAAACAAGCAAACAACCCCCCTCAAAATGCTTCCTCTGAAATCTGACACACAGGAGCTTGAGCTTTGTGAATTTAGCTCCAGCTGATTACCCAGATGGTGTGATGACTGGTATTGCTTCAGGAATCTGACTTGGGTGTCTTAGGTCAGTAAATAAGAAAGACTGAATTTTTACTGAGGTAATCAGTAGGGGCAAATAGAGAAGAGACAATAGTCATTGAGATTCCTTAAGTTGTGTATTTTGTCTTGGTACCTGTAGGCAAGACTGAATGAGCCAAAGGCCCTGACTGAAGTTAAAAGTTTAAGGGTTGTTGGCACTATTTTAAGACACTTAACAGCCCATGGTTTCTCTTGCTTCACCAGTGCTGGCCTTACTGTGCACGTCTGTCTGGACAAACTTCATCCCCAACTGAGGTTTAGTGATATATGAAAGGGTTTTGTATGACTTCTAGCAAAAGCAAGGCTTGATGGCCAAAAGCTGGAAGGGATTTTTGCAGGCACTTGGCACACATTTAGATGAGTTATATCTTGGGAGGTTAAGATCTATTTCAAGGTGGATCAGAGATGAGTTTTAAACTTGTGTGGGATTTAAACTGTTATAATTTGTTAAATATTATGGCATCTGTTTTTAAGATTTCAGTTGTTTATGTTGTCTTTTATTTCTGTGAAGCATCCCAAATTTCAGGTATATGATGTTTAGATAATGTGGTGCTGAATGCAACTGTGTTTTGTTTGTGGTAAGAAGCATAAAATCCTAACTTGAATAACATAAAAATATTACCAGTAGAACTGGGGTAGAATACTGAGTGAGGAGGAAGAAGTGTGTAGAACAACAGGGGTTTGCAAATGGGGTTGGGAGGAGGGTTAAATACAAAGCATGCTTGAAAAAGAAGTTTGTGACAGGATTCTTGTTTTCTTTTACAACACTGGAACCTTTCTCCATCCTCAGAAGAAACAATAGTGCGGTACTTTGAATTTGTATCTAACTCTTAGTTATGTGTGAGGCAGTGTTGTAAAGATACACCTGTATTTGTTCTATTTTCAGTTTATGTGGATGTGTGTTCACAGTGTAAGCTGGTCTTTAAAAGATGCATTGGAAAGTGTTTTTTGGTTTTTTTTTTGGTTTTTTTTTTTTTTTTTTGCCCCCCCCCCCCCATCTTCCCCCTTCTGCATTAGAGCAATTGATAGTCACATCTGTTTGAAAGATTTTAAAGGTGTACGGCTCTGGAAACTGTAAGCTTCTTACAAGCTTTATTTGTTAATTTTCTCCCATTTCTGCACTCTGTTGTGAAATGGTTTTAGCAGTGGCCATATTACCAGGGTTTGTTCTTTTTAATTCAGTAGTTATTGATAACAACATAAGAAACAGCCTACCAAAACTTTGGGTTCTTAAGAACAAGTAGTTTAGCTGTGCTTTCTGTCAGCTTAGTACAGACCACAATTTTGTGTATGTTTGTGGTTTTATATGGGGAAAAAGTACATGTGCATTTCTCTGAGATGAGAAATTAATTTTTTTTTTTTTGGTCTGTATTTGAATATGAAATACTGGATCATAACACTTTAAAATTAAACCACTGTAGCTGTTGCCCAATTTGCAGGTGGTTTAAACTGTCAGCATGTGCTCTTCAAAAATTCAGGTCAAACCAGAGCAACAACAGCAGCATGTTAAATTCAACTCTGCATGATTTTCTGCAACTTTATTTTATACTTGTGTTACCGACAGGTAGCTCATATTCATAGCAGAGTGGGAGCAAGGTCTTCATGTGTATATGTGATTTGACTAGAAACAAATAACCAAAAAAGCCCCAAACCATATCTTAATTTTCTTCGTGATGTTAAAAAGAAAAACTTTTTTTTTTTTTTTAAGAAATCCTAGACATGCTTTGAGTTGAGACCTTGACAAAGTCTGCCAAATCTGCCTCTGCTGTTGTCAAGATTGAGTAGCTGGAATGAGTCTTCCTGTTGCTGTTTAATACTCTTGGATTTTGGTTAATGCTTAATTTCAGTGAGTAGCAGATTTGACATACCTCCCCCCTCCCCAAGGCCTTAACTTCCCTAATCCTCTGGAGTAGAAGGTTAGCGCTGACACTTACCTCTCCTTTCTTTTGGAATAAATTTGGTAGTTTAAACTAGGGGATTCTAAAGTGATACATTGTGACATGTCACAGGTGAAAACTAGAATGTCCATATGCCTTTTCAAGAGGGAAGATACTGGAGTAGAGTGTGATCTTCATGGCTTTAGGAAAAAGTAAAAGATAAGTCTAAGAGTACTGATCATGAGCATTTTCTGGCTGAGATGTAATATGTATATGCAACATTAAAATTGGAAAAATGAACACTTAGAGTTTGTTCCTCAGTGATAATTTAATTTTCATTTAAAAAGCATCTAGCAAATCCTTTATTTGAAGTGTCTTCGTTTTGTGGAAGGTAGGGGGCGGGGAGAAGATGCACCTTTACTTGTTTGTTTTATAGTAATTTTCATGACTTACTGTTTAAACAAATGAACATGGGTTACCTAGCACTAGCTAGTTTATTGCATCCTCAAATGAGTTTAACAAACTCTCTTGACAAATACCTTTGTTTTTCCTGTTGTTTTACAAAGGCACTTCTCTGATATCTTTTGGTGTGCTACAGAAACCTTAGAATGGTCTTAACTTCAGCAGGTGTAAACAGTTGTGCTTCAATTTAACTGGTTTTACCTGGAAATTAGCTATATTCTCTTCGATACTAAAATGTTAAAATGTAACCTTCCTTGTATCTTCTGGAGTTGTAAAATCTTCCAGAAGGCAGCTGTGCTGAGAATTGTTACATTCCATCCCAGTGGAAGTGTTCTTATTAACTCCCCAACCTTCGAACGCAGGCGAAACATTTGTGTAGGAAGGCCCTGGGCTGTTGACGACGTGCTTATTTCATTCTTATAAAGTACGTGAATGTAAAAGCAGTAACTGTAAAGACTGTTAACTGTTTTTGTGTAATAATTCCCGAAGATGTGTATCAGATGATTGATTTAATAGGTTGTTTAAAGCTGTTGTTTTAGGGAACAGTTTCAAAGCTTATTTTGTGCCCTATGGCCATGTTCTCCTGGTCCTGTAGGGGCTGGAGATGATACTGGTTAAAGTCATGTCAGCATGGTGTTTTGTGAGGACAGACCTGCACGCTGCACAGCCGGGGTTATGATGTAAACTAGGTCAGGGAAGCGATCTGATGTTTGGTTGGTTTTTATGTATTGTGATTTTGGGGGCAAGGTGAAAGATTATTTTTAAGTTATGAGTTCTCACATTGGTGAAGCATGGCCCTTGCAAGCAGGTGGAAGACAGAGGGCTCAGTCAGCATTACTGACTTCAGGAGTCCACTTCACTGAATCTGGGTCTGAGTGACATTGAGTCTTTTTTTGAAATCTGGTAACAGCCTCTGCCAGGCTGTGTCTTGTCAGCCCTTTCAGTGAAGCCTAATATCTGTTGAATAGGATACAGTTGCTAGTGATGGATGGGTAAAAATTACAGTCAGACCATCAGGAAATTGTTACCTGAAACTAAAATATCGATTGCTCTAGATTACTGCTTTAAAAATCTGTAAAAATAAACTGCAGAGTCTTAAATTGAAAAGCAAATGTGTGGTGTGTTTTTTTTTTTTTCAAATTAACAGTTGGCAAAAGGCGAGAAATTGTAGTTCAAATTTAACTACTATAAACTTAACTGTGGTATAAGTAAAAATACTCAAACTCCAGAGGATGTTTATGTATTGAGACCTTTTGTTTTCTGACTGCTTTTTTTAGTAGCAACTAAGTGGCTGAACCTACTATTTGTGTTGACATTCCTAACATTTTTTTTTTTAAAGAGAAAAATTGTTTTAGTGGCTTCCTTTGTCCTTAATTTGAATTCATCTGGAGATTTTTGGGTTTTTTTGCTGTTTTTTTTTTTTTTTTAATTTTTACGCATAAAGTCCTATGGTCTCTATGATTTGTTGAGCTGCTATGAAATTCTTCATTAGATGATTAAAGCCTCTTAGCTGAAGGAAGCAATGTCAAATAATGTTTCCCAGACATGATTAGTTGGCAGGGTTGTTTTTTTTTTAAATGCATGGGGTTTTTAGTAATTTTTTTCCTACTTTGCTTTTTTTTCCTTTTGCTAATAAGCAAAGGGACAAAGGTGCTAGAACTTGCTTTGTGAGAAACTTGCTTTGTGACTGAATTCTTGATTTCAGACAAATTATAGTACTTAGATTGGTTTTAAAATGGGTTTAACTTGTGGAAAATTATATTAGGTTTGTTGATTCCTGTAAATTTTAAGTTAAGATGTTCCTTTTTTAATACTTAGTCTTCATGGAAATGTGCAATGAAATCCTGAGGAGATGATGACAACAGATTATGGAAGTAAAAGTGAAGTTGTACTGTAGTTTTTCCAAACATAGCGTGTAGTTAGCCTTAAAAATTTCTCGTTTTGTATGAGAGAGATAGTATATAACGTATAAACATGAAGGACTTACAGAGGGAAATGTTATGCTTGCCAAGAATGGGACTTCCACTTAAGCTGTAAGCCTGAATTTTTGACATGGAGGATTTGTTCCTCTTTAGACTTTATCTCTATGAAAGTTGAAGGAGACCAAACTGATGATAAAGCTTTTGCCCTAGTAAAATGAATAATTGAATTCAGGGGGGAAAAAAAGATACTAATGCATAATATTAATTAAAAATATTAATTATACATTTGGTATTAAACAAAATGTTACTTTATACCTTTGAAAGGCAATAATCTTGCGTAGTAAGAATATAACTTAAATAATGCAGATGTGATGCTGCTATACAAGCATTGCCTTAACTTTCAGGTAATACTTGCTTTAATTGTTGGTAAGGTTTCTTGAATAGCTGTTGATACAATAGCCATGTTTTCTGAAATGCATATTTTGATGAGAGATTTAATGTTTTTGTTGGTCTCTGAAAGGTTGATTTATTTATCTAACAAGTGAGAGGAAGTTTTCAGTATGATTAAAAACAGTGATTTGTCATTTTCAGAAATTGAAGGTGGGGGAATAATTTAGAGGAAAGTTGTCTATATCAATATAAAACTAGTATTAATGCTGCAAGTAACTTTCAGAGCTTTTTAGATACAGATTTAAGTAGTGAATTTTTTAAACATGTGAAGTATATAATGAACAAGGACTAAGTGTTCTTAAACTTAAAATTTGGCTATCTTAACTGTTAAAGTGTATAACTTTTTCTAGAATAGTGAATATGTTTAAGAATTTTTTTTTTTTAAAATGGCTACCTGTTGTTGCTAGTATCAGTTCAAAAAAAGTTTTAACTGTATGGGTATAGCATGCAGTAATCACTGAATCCAAACACTGGTACATTACACAGGACTAAGTTCAGTTTTGAAACACTTAGAATAACTAGCTTTAAAGCTCAAACTATTCTGAAAATAAGGCTGTATTTAAATGTGAATGTCTTAAACGTATATGTCTGTTATGAAAAATTGCATGGCTGTTTTTCATCCAGGATGTTCATCTAGGAAAGCTGTTATTAGTTTTCATAGTATGATGATCTAGGAAAGCTGATCGTAGTTCTCACAGTATGATGATAACTTTACTTCTGTGTTTCTGCTGAAGTTGTTTTGCATGCTCTCCTTTTCTTTCTTGCAACGTTGAAATATGGGGGATTGACTTGAGAGTATATGCTTGTGCGTGAGGTTTGGCTCCATATCTATTTCTGTAGCTCAAAAAGAGCAAGGTGAGGCTGCTGTGAGGGCTTGTAATTGGACTGCTTACTAGTGAACTGGGTCCTTGCAGATTTAACCCATTGTGGTGGGTTAGGTTAACTTCAGGCTTACTCTCCTATTTAGAGAAATACTTATATGAAGTAAAATGTCATGTTAAGGAAACACGAGGGACGTGGAGAGAGTACTGCTTACATCCTTGGTACTTGGGCTAGGCAAAGTCTAGCACAAACCTCAGATGTTCTTCCTCCACTCCCCTAAGGAGCAAGGCTACATGTCATATTGCCAGGACAGATTGAGAGGATGTTGTTCGTCTAACCATCCTCTCATGCTAGCTAGAAGACAAGTCAGCTTAAAGCTAAATGTATGATGCTGTTGGGCTCAAAATATACTAAAGCCTCCTTACTTGAGCATGTGAATCAGCTGATGTAAAAGATCATACCTCATAGCAACTTGTAACCCTGCAATCAATATTCAGAGTTGGAGAAGGGCAATTCTACTGTTGTCCTTAATAACACAGATTGATCTGGGATGTAAATGCTAACAGTAGGCTTAACTTTTTATTTCCTTAGTATGTGTCTCTTGTCTGCTACTCTGATAAGAAAACGTAATTAAATTTTTGTTTTGTTTTGTTTCTGTCAGTAACTTTATCTAATTGCCTTTATTAGTCCCGTTACAACCCAGGGATCACAAACACAGCAACTACAGAAGCATTATGGCATTACCTCACCTATCAGTTTAGCTGCCCCCAAGGAGTTTGACTGCATGCTTACCCAGAAATTAATCGAAACCCTAAAACCTTACGGTGTATTTGAAGAGGAGGAAGAACTGCAACGCAGGTGAGTAAACACTCATTCTCGCAGTGGTTTTCTCCTATCTTGAGGTTCATGTAGTTGACTACTGAACCCCAAACACGTTTAAGTTCTTTCCAATGCTTTCTTAAAAGCCTAGTGGAATATTAAGCTTGATTTTTTTTTTTTTTTTAAATTTTTTCTTTTCACCCCTTACCTTATGAGGAATACCTCAGAACACAGGAAGTAAAATGGCCTTTTTTAAAAGGGCATTTAAAAGGACCCTTTTAGAAGGGCTTTTTTTTCCCCCCTTCATAACTGTGGTGTTGTGGTGGCCCCTATGCTTTTTTTTTTCCTTATTGAGCTTTCTGGAGGATTTTTTTTTCTCTCAGTACTGCTTCTCAATGTTCTTTCAGGTGCATGTGTCTTACAAATTGAGGTTTTATTTTGAAAGTGAGTAGAATTCATACACCTAAAATGTGTTTAGGCCTTGCATGCTTGCATTTTTTCTGAACTTAAATCATTTGAACATCTTTAAAGGGGAAAAAATAGTAGAAATGTTGTAAGAGTGACTTTGTTTCAGTGTGTGTATGTATATATATGTAAAGATCTGTAATTAGATCTGCAGTGTTACTGTAGTTGACTTACTGTGTAATGATGATCAGGGCCTTAAAAAATACTAATTTGGTCTAAGTTCATGACCAATGATTCTGCTGTTTTATCAATAGGATTCTAATTTTGGGAAAATTAAATAACCTGGTAAAGGAATGGATACGGGAAATCAGTGAAAGCAAGGTATGGATGTATTTTAAATGGAACTGCTCATACTAAGACTGCCATAGGAAGATAATTCCAAAACGCATTCTCAGTCTAAACAGGGTGAATCTTAGATTTGGGGATCAAATTGGAAAAACAAACACCGCCTTCAGAGGAGAACCTTGTCAAAGAATGAAACTGATAAATCTTGGAAAAAGTCATGGTAGTTGTAATAGTAATTTTCAATTATTCTATCTTCTCCCTGGAATGACTTTTTGTCAAAATGCTTCTGTATAGTACTATGTCAGTTATATGCTTAGATATAATATGCTTGGCTTTGTGAACCAGAGTTAGATCTTAAAATGGATTTCTTGAAGCTTTATGATCAGTGGCCTTTTTCTTTAATGTCAGTCCTGTAATGTTACTTTTGTAGTCTCTAATGGTATTAGTGTTTTTGCCAGGTTATAGTCCCCCCCACTTCTAAACATACCTTCTTTTGAATTATTATAGACTTGCAAAAATGTAAAGATGGAAGTGGCTTTTTTTTAGGGGTAAAATTTTGCTTTGGGTATATTTAGGATTGTATTTCTTCTGTACACTTCTCTTATGAAATGGGTATTTATACGTGAAGATGATTATGGGGGGGATGATGACGCTGCTATATATGTGTTGGTCCTTGAAAACAAAGTAGTGAGAGCATCTCAACTGGTGTAAGATTGGAAACTACTTAAGTTAATCCAATATATATTGTAAAATAATTTGGTTTTGATTTGTTTGTCTTTTGCTGCAATGTAGTGCTTCAGGTTGTAACAGTGCATGCTGTTACGAAAGGGTAATTGTCTTTGCCTACAGTAATTTGGATTCAAGACTTTTTCTGAAGATACAAATCTAGGAACTTTAGTATGTGTACCTGAACAATTTTAAGATAAAATAAATATTTCTCCCAAAACCAAACTTCTATTTAAAGAATGTAGTGTGGGTGTCTCTGAAAGTAGTTTAATAAACACAGATAGTGTAAATAGTATTTTTCTGTTGCTCTAAATTGGAATCCATCATCAATTTCTAAGTCAGTCTAAAATACCTGAATATTAAGCAAAATGGGTTTAAAAGATGTTGCACCTGAAGTGTAGAACTGCGGGAACAATTACCAAGTTTGAAGTGGTAATGTGTAATGTAGTTAAAATGCTACAAATAGTTCCCAAGTGACAAACATACCTCTGTCTTTTCTGTAAATACTAAGATGATTGTTTCAGTAGTAACTACATCTTAAACAGCATAAATTTTGTGGAATATTTCATTTTAATATGTGGAATATTTTCATTTTAAGATAAGTTATGTGTGGTGTTATAACTTGTTAAGGTAAAATAACAAATTTTATTTGCTCCATTTAGAATCTTCCACAGTCCGTAATAGAAAATGTTGGAGGAAAAATTTTTACATTTGGATCCTATAGATTAGGGGTTCATACAAAAGGTAACGTTTACTTTTATAATAAAACCCCATATGTTTGAGCTAATGATGTATCTGTAAATGTCACACTTACCCCCCCCCCCCCCCCTTTTTTTTTTTAATTTTTGTCAGCCATCTCCAATCTTCATTCTAAATAAAAGAAATACATTCCTTTATTATGTTCTTGTCATGGGTTGGGAAACAGACAAAAATGTTGAAAATTATTTAAAAATAGAGAAAGCTTTACTTTATACTTAGCTTCTCATGGTTTGGTCTTTGAAAGTTACTGCAAATACTCCACAACTGAAAGAATGTCTGGATGTATTCAGGATGCTTAACGGCCATGAATGTGTTTTTGGTTGTGGGTGTGGTGCTTTGTTTCCTTGTTTTGACTTTGGTTTTTTGGGTTGTTTTTTATGTTTTGTTGTTTTTTAATTTTTGTTTGGTTTGATTTAGTATTCCAAAGAAAAGTGATTCTACAGGAAGTGAAACTGAATTTTCCTGTTTGGTTTCAAAAAATTTTTGGCTATTACTGGCATTTCATGTGTGTGAAGTGTGAGTAACTTGTGCTAATAAACAATTTCAGGTGCTGATATTGATGCCCTGTGTGTTGCACCAAGACATGTTGAAAGAAGTGATTTTTTCACATCGTTTTATGAAAAACTGAAACAACAAGAAGAAGTAAAAGATCTGAGGGTATGTGAACTGCCTGATACAACTAGCTGAAGTGATGATGCTGGAAAGTTAGTAGTGAAAGATGATGCATTAAATAAGTAAATACAACTTTACTGTTAAGGCTTGCAATTGATTTTTAGTTAACCTGCAGTAAAGCCTATCGCCATAGTTGAAATAACTAGAGATTCTTCAAAATTTTCTCTGTTCCCACTTATTAGAGACAGTCATTTAAAAATCTGGATGGCAGAATGATCTCCTAGCATGTGTTAGTATTGCAAAATTTCTGCTTGCTCTCTATCAGCAGGCAGATGCAAATGTGTTTGGTGCTGATCCTTTTCAAGCTAACTTGCATGTTCTTAGTGAAGTCTGTAAAGTGTATTGTTATGCTGCTGTTTTTATAATTTTATGCTTATATAAACACTTACAGTGGTTGATTATAACTAAACCTTCTATATTGGCTGTCAACTCTGCATTTGAAAATGGAGGTTACATTTTTAGTGTGTCTCATTATTAGATGCTTGTGCAAGACTTAGTATGTAAAGATTAAGATTTCCCTTGTAGGAATGGAAGACACGTTGGTATACAGTATTTTGTTTCTAGTCTACCTAAATGACAAGCCTCCCCAGGTCAACTGGTGTGAGCTTTAATCTTTGCAGTGTTGGTTCAGAGTATATTTTCTCTGCTGCAATTGTTTCTTTTTAGATGTAGGTAATTGCTGGCAAGTATTAAACTTCCATTTAGTCCTGCTCCCATAAAATAAATGGGTCTGTCTCTCCAGTGTTCTTGCACTCTATGCATCCTGTAGTCGGTAACTACCAAGGTAGTGCAAACATCTGGTAGTAATACTGTATGCACTGAAACAACTGTTTTGAATGCTTTATTATCTGAACACTTTTAGTAATCTTTAAACCCACATGCTATAATAGGATTCGGGCTTTCAGATTTCCAATTAACTTTGCTATAAGCTCAATCTAACTCAAGCTAATGTAGTTGATTTAGCAGCAAGGTAGATCAATGTATGCTATTCCATGTAGCTCTGCAGCAATGCAAATAACCTTTAGGTCAGGGCATCATAACATTTTTAAATCATTCTAGCTAGGTCTAAGAAAGTTTGTACATCTTCCTCTTTAGGGAACCTAGACTTTCTTAATGGTTGCTCTAGTGAGTGAGTCTGAGACCTGTGAACTTCATATTTTGCTTAGGATCCGTCCTGCCAACCAGTAACATTAAGGTAACCTTAACTAAGGTTAAGTGCATAGAATAGTGTTGTCGCCTCCTCTTGTGAAGAACTGGAACACTCTTAGAACTGTGTTTAGCCTCTGGCAGTACCTAATATTTCTTATTTGGAAGTATGCAGTGTTCTTTGCTTTTATGAAAGCAGTGCTCTGCAGGACTGCAATTAGTTCAGATGCTCAGTTTGGGAGAGTTGCAGGGAACTGGTTGCAGAGTAGACAAAAAGTTCCATAGTTTCATCATGGATAGTGTTTGTCAAAGTACCTTATTAATGGCCACATTTAGAAAAGCTGATCGAGGTCTGGAGACTGGTGACTTGTGTCTCGTTTAGGTGAAGTCAGACCGCATAGTTGCACAGTTGTCTCCTTGCTATTCCACATAAAACACTGACTGCAGAAACAATAGAAGTACGAGGCCTCTTAGAGTAGGAATCTCCGTAGATTGGCCTTAAAATACTTAGAGATGCAGTGAGGAGTAAAAGATGTTTGATCATGTCCTATGTGTAGTGAGAAAGAGAGTTGGACCTTGAGGTGACATCATTAAGAGCTTGCTGGTGTGGCTTTGAGTTACAATTAACATCTAGACAGCTGTAGCACATAGTAGATCGGTGCTCCTCAATGGTGGAGAAAGACGTTGCTGATAAAAATTGACCTGAAAACAGAAAAGCATCTGTTATATAGCATTTCATCATGATTGTTTAGACCTGCTAGCTGTTGCTTGTAAATGTTCTTCTCTATACTGAAAATAAAATATAACTTTTTTTCCCCCCAGGCTGTTGAAGAAGCTTTTGTCCCAGTTATTAAACTTTGTTTTGATGGAATAGAGGTAAAGATCTTATTTTATTTTGTTTTAGTAGAACATGGTTAAAATAAAGTTTTCAAGATCTCCATAACTCATATGGTATTCATTAATATGAATGCTATTAGAGTGACTCTCCTAAGTTCACACTCAAGTCCTTGACAACAGTCCTCAGCTGTGTAACTTAAAGTGGGGCTTTAAGACTGAAACAAGTCTTTCTTGAAGTGCTTAAAGTTGTGTGTAGACTATCACCCTGTTCTTTTTTAGGCAGTGCTACCCACCTGTACTGATTTGACTATTGACCTGTAAAGTACCAGTAATGGCATTATTAAGATTTGACATCTAATAGAAGTTATAGTTATAAATAATGTGGCTTTAGTAGTTTTTTGGCTGCTAATGATGAACTGTCCAATCCTCAAATTCAATACCTTATAATATAGGAAGTTGTGTGATCCTTGATCAGTTCTTAAAAATGTCCTGTTGAAGGCAAACTGGGTATCCCCTTTGTCCTGATATTTTCAGATGTCTGTTAAACACATGACAGTTTCTATCCAGTTTGCCTGTAGCCTGATGGATCAGCTGTCTTGGAGTGATGAACTTGGTTAACTTGATTTTTACTATTTTGGGAGTAGTTGCTGAGGGACAGGAACACTGCTTTCAAAAGATACTCTGTTAATCTTTCTCAGACTTTTGTAGTGAACCTGTCATCTTTTCTTGGTGACGAGACAAATATATACAAACTGCTCATATACACAGTTCATCAGACTTGGACCTGGATTATGTCAATCAGTAACTTGTGGGTATAAGAAGAATACTTCATAGTGGGGAAAGAATTCCCATGCTAGTCTTCTGACACGTGATGTGATTTGAAGAGCTGTAGTATTTTGCGCAAGACTGGACAGTTTCTTCTCTTCCACTCCGAGTTAAATATCTCCCTTGCAATTCTCATGGTCATAAGTTAGGGTACTGGCAATTTTGGGGTCTTGGGAGGAAGATGAGCCACCCCCCTTGCCCTTATCCATCCATCTTATTTGTATTTTCACTGACGTTTGTGTCAGTTGCCACTTAGGCAGAGAGATGTATTTTCTCGAAATGAGAGAGATGTGCAGTGAAATGCAATACCATGCAGTAAGCTAGCCTGTGACTTTGCATCTGTGAGAAACACCTTATTACTGTGCAGTTACAGTTGGGTATTAGGAACATTTTTCTAGAGACTGTGCTTTCTGTGTACATAGCTTAGGTATACATTGTAAATGTTGAAACTTGCCATAGGCATCCTCTGGCTAGTCTGTTATTTGTATGTTTTTTTCAATCCTTTACATTCAAGCAGTGTTGTCTCCTTTTTTTAAAAATGAAATTCAAAATACAAGCCTAAATAGGGAAATAAAAGGATTCTCTGCTGTAAGAGCAGTAGTATCTTGCTCCAATGTAGTAATTTATGATGGGCTGTGATGGATTAGGTTTGTGACAGACTTAACCTGTATTGCTGACAGTGCATGAGCGTTCTTTAGTATTGAACACAAAAAGATGATAAACACACTTTTTTATATATACAAGTGTTGTTAGTTTCTGATGGTTCTGTTTGTACCCAGTATGTCAGTATCAGAAGATTTTAATTTAATTTTTATTTTCCTAATCCAGGCAACAGGTGTCAGGAGTTATACTCTCTGTAAAGAAAGCCTTAGAACTGAAGAAAAGAACTTTAGTTTTGTGGTTATCTTGTCAGTTAAAAGAAGTTTCTGCCAATACCAGTTTTTACATAGGCATTCTGGCTTTTTGTGAATTTTTTTTTTTTCCTGTTCTTCCTGTAGAAAACTGATTTCCCTGCCCCACAATGACGTAGGACAGGCTATTCCTTTCTTATTTTGAAAAATCCTTTTATTGTCAATGAACTTCATATCTTTAGAGGTGCTAGACCTTCTGGAGATCAGAATAGGACTTCAAGCTGAAGTTCATTTTGAACTTCTTTTACATTGAAAAGTAGTACTTTTGCTTCAAGTAGAAACTTCTACTTGTAGTATAGAATGTTAAGACCAGCTGTTAAAGACTTTGAAATCAAAAGTGCACTGAATAGTTTAGAAATTACTTTTTTTGAAGTGTGTCATAGTTTAAAACGGATGCAAAGTTTTTCAGCACCTACGAAAAGTTCTTCATCTTAAGGTACCTTCAGCTTTGTTTTATCTGAAATAGTTTTAATGTAACTAAAATGGTTTTGTTCTTGATGCAATAGCACTAGGTATTTCATCATCTTGTAGGTGAAGTGGTATCAGTTTGTAATTACTACAAGCCTCATCAGGTGAAGGGGGCTTGTTGCCCAGCAGACCAGCTGCTGATATGCACTTTATGTTCTCATCATACTGACTCACTGGTACCTAATCTCAGATTGGAAAGGCAGACTGACCTCTACTCTGTGTATGTCTTTGCTGTGTATGGGACAATGTAAAACTCTAGTTCAGTGCTGGATAGTTTCTTAGATGTTCTTGACCTAGGAAAGCTGTGATGACAAATTATTTATTGCAGAAGCAAAGAAATTTGCCATAATTTCAAAATTTGTGCAAATTTATACACTTGCTCAGTAGCCTGCTGGATTTGCAGAACTTCCTGTTTTCCGTAATCAGCTATCTAGACTTTTCACTGATACTAGTCTTATACAGAGGCAACTAGTTGCATGTATGCTTTATAGTGCTAGATGGGAAGGGTCTCATACTTCTTCCGTAATTCAGTGATAATTTTGAGAATATTTAGGTTAAAACTAGGTTATATTTTCATGACTTGCTTTGACATAGTAGAATTCTGTATTCTGGACCTAGAAGTGGTGCTTGTCCCTAAATTATTTTAATTTACATTGACAGTCAACATAGTTTTTGTGTGTGCTGGTTCTGTATTGATCTTAATGTGTATCTTATCCTTTTGGAAAAAGAGCAGTAAGACACGTAAAATGTCTGTGAAGGGTGTTAGTATGTATTGTTTACAGAGATTCTTTGTACTAGGAAGACTTAGTAGTAGTAGACTTGATGAAAATGGGTTACAGAAGTAATTCTACAGAAGAAAAGTTTCTGATGTCTTATCTTTTTTTTTTTTTTTAAGATTGATATTTTGTTTGCAAGATTAGCACTGCAAACTATTCCTGAGGACTTAGACCTACGAGACGATAGCCTACTTAAAAATTTAGACATTAGATGCATACGAAGTCTTAATGGTATGTATATACAGTTTTGCATATAAACTTCTTGTCTAATCTTTTAATAGGTGTCCTAGATTGTTTGATACAGTAGTTTAGTTGTGGACTTGACTGAAAATACAGCAACTGCATGTCTGGAAAGGAAGTAATATCTGGTTTTATGTATCTTTTTGGAGAGAAGGGTTGTTTATTGTTGGCCAGATTTTTATAAATTTTTTTCTTTTATTTGGGTAATAAATGCTGCTGTCTAGAAATTAATGGGACTTGCAAGACTTTTGTTTGGAGTACTACATAAATAAAGATGTGTGCATTTTTTTAATTTGTATGTGCTTTAATATGCATAAATATACACAAAATTGCTTCAGTGATAAATTGGGGATGACAAACTACTGTCAGTTTGAGGTCAGGTCTTTAGTAGCTTACCAGCTTGTGTAACCCTTAACTTTTCTGTAATACTACAGCTGAAAAAATTATTTGTGTACGGGATGGTAGGGGCTTCAGCCTATATGCAACTTGGCAGGGAAGAGCCTGTTACGAGTTGATAACTTGAGATTACCACAGCAACTTGCACTGTTTTGTGAAATTCACATTTGTGCAGTCTCTAAATTCATATTTGCCTCTTACTTGCTTTGAAAGGAACTCCTAGTCTTAGATAATGCTATTTCCTTTCAACCAGTTCCCTGCAACTATTTAAGCAATAATGAACAACTACTTATTCTTGATTTAAAAAAAAAAATATCACAGTTAATATTGTCACCTGTAATACTGTTCTTAAGTCTGAAAATACCGTATCAAAGTAATGATAAAACTCGCATGTTCGAAACTATTCTTTTTAGCCTGTTCTCATAAATTCAAACAAACTTTTGACCTATGATTTCCAGGTTTTTGTAGGCCCATGAAGTCATGCTTTTTTTAATTTGTCTTCACCTTCTATGGTTTACTGCATGTAATCCCATAACAGCAGAACTTTAAAACTTGTTTGTTTCTTAAATAGCTTGTACAGTTCATTAATAGCAGAAAATCAAGTAGCAGTCCAAAACTGTAACTGTGTGTGCATGAATTGTCTTCCTGAGTACTGCTGTAAAACAGTAAAAAAGAAAAAAAAAAAAAATCACATGAAAATACGTTAAGCTTTCTAATGCAAAACAAAAGTGGTCAAAATATGAAGCGAGTTTCCAGCATGCTGGAAAAACTAAAAAGTTTGATAGCTTTGAAGGTGAGGGAGGGTAAGCAAGTGAAAAACTTTGGAGGCAGCAAGGGTAATGGATTCTTTCTTTTGGCAGGTTGCCGGGTAACCGATGAAATTCTGCATCTAGTACCAAACATTGACAACTTCAGGTTAACACTGAGAGCTATCAAACTGTGGGCAAAACGTAAGCAGTTTTATTCCAAAATTTGTGAAGTTTTTTTTAAGTCTTATGGTTACTCATAACTCTTTCCTTTTATCTCTTTTCTTCTCAATCCACAGGCCACAACATCTATTCCAATATACTAGGTTTCCTTGGCGGTGTTTCCTGGGCTATGCTAGTAGCAAGAACTTGCCAGCTTTATCCAAATGCAATAGCATCAACTCTTGTACATAAATTTTTCTTGGTATTTTCTAAATGGTATGTTTTTTTTTATTTCAGATTACACTAAAATAAAATTGTTTGTAGACACTAAATTTTAGTCCTGTTTTTATGGTATCATTTTCAGCTGTTGCCAGATTAAGATGGTAGTTACAAGCATTGTTCTCGTGGCCAGAAAGTTGTTAGCTTGAGTTTTACAATGTCATCCAACGTGTCTTGTTCTTAAAGTATCCAAACCAAAACCACTCAGTTTTTAATTAAAATTTTCTTAACTATTTATTGTAACTCAACGCTACTCTTCAGGTAAAATATTTATGTAGTGCAAAATAAGAGCAGACGTGCCAAGATTTAAAGTCTTGTAATGTTTGGATACTGGGATAATGGGAAAAGGAGGTATGTCAGTATCTGGTTTAGGCACATAGCTTAAATGCAGTTTAGGAGAACCAGTGGCAAAAGTGTGGTGTTTAATCTTGTCAGTGTGGAGAGGTAGGTGTTTTGGAATTACATATTGTTTCATAATCCTGAGCTAGTTACCTCAGAAAGATGGTTTGAATAACTCTGGGAACAATGGGAACATTGCAAGTACGTTTAGAATGAATGGGACAAAAGTGTACTTTGCAGCTTACAAATGAATACTATTTTTCTTTAAAAAGCATGTCTGGGTACTTGTATTCTTCATGAGACATTGACGGATTTTAAGAATCATTGTACCAAGTTGTTGCTTTACTTAAAGTATAGTGTCTTTGCTTCTTAACATGAAGATAACTTCTACAGTTTCACCATGTTGAAAACATAGGCGTTGTAGCCTCTTTGAGGTACCTAGTGTTTAGTAATGTCCTGCCACACTAAGCTAATAGAAGAAAATTGGTTGCCAAGCTCTGTTTAATATGTTCCTTATACTGCTGTACATTTTATATGTGCATAGCATAGGAGCATTAACGTACAAATACCACAAGATTAACTGACTTCTACTCTTTATAGGAAGATAACTTAACTCATGGGAGTAGAGACGACTTGAAGAACAGAAGTGTTAAATTTCTTTCTTTTTTTCCCTAGTGTTCCATTCAGCATGGTTTCTTTTTGTCTTGATTGGATTTTTTTTTTTAATACATATGCTTTGTAATGATACTATAATGCTGTAATCATACTGGCTGTTTCTTTTGTAGTTTGTCCATGAAACAGTTAGATTGAAGATTGACCCAATGTTAATCTTCATAAAGGAGTTTCTCTTTGATAGGTGTATTTCAAGAAGAATTTAGAGGCATTTACTTCAGTTACCTAAACAAGTGGTTATAAATCTCCAAGACTACAGAAAATTCGTTGTTCTGATGCCCTGGAGAAGCTAATTACAGCTGTATTGTAGTTCAGCAATACAACTTGAACAACTCCAGTTAGACCAGCTTAATCTTGAGGAAATGCTGCTTTACCTTGAGAACAGAGTTAAGAAGGATCGCATTGAAAAGTACTGTTTGTTGAACGTGTGTGGTTGTATCCAATAGTCTTATTCAGTGCTACAATCTTTTTGAACAGGGAATGGCCAAATCCAGTGCTATTGAAACAGCCAGAAGAATGCAATCTTAATTTGCCTGTATGGGACCCAAGGGTTAGTGTATTATTTTTTCCCCTATAAGTCACACTGTACAATAAACTCGGTTGCTTAAAGAATCTCAGGTGAACTTCATTTTGGGTTTATTAAACTTAATATTTTAGTATTACGTGTTCTTTATAATTAACCTCTAGTTCTCCTGTGTGGAACAAAGTTAGCTTAATTTTCTAAACTGAACACTTGAAGCACACTTGGAGAGCAATGAACTTTTTACTCACAACTTTTGCAATAAGCGGTCATAATAAATATTCAGCGTAATTAGATATGTGCCTTAAAACAATGCATTCTTTTTGAAAAACTGCTTATCTTAAAATGGTTTGCTTCTGATTTAAAACCTGTTACTTTTCCAAGTATATTGAATTCACTTTGGTGCAACAGTCACAGCTGGATAGGTTTGGTTCCATATAGTTGTAGTAATGTGTCTTTTCATCTTGGACCACAGAAGATCGTAACTTGAAGTCTTTAAGTTGTTTTGTATATTATTTATAATATTTGATCTCCATCTTTGTAGCACTTAAGTATATTGGACATGAACGTCCTTCAGGCAGTCAATAAAATAGCTTGCAGCAGATGCACAGCTCACATTCTGAGGTTTCGGTAGGGCACAGTGTGAATGTGTTCAATGCAGTTTTGTCAACTTTAGAATAGTTGGTTTTTCAACTGATCTTTTTTTGATGAATAGTGTAAGCACTAGAAGTTGAGCTGTATGCCCTTGTATACTTCAAGTCTGTTTTCCTGGTTGACAAAAGTCCATGTTTAAATAATATGAGACAGTTGAAGTGTTCTTGAGTCTTACTGTTAAGCTGGGACAGGAGGTTTCAGGTCAGTGTGTGATGAGAACTGTTTGTGTTGTAGTAGCTAGGCAAAGTGGGGTAAATTAATGACAGGGTTTTATCTTTAATTTACCACCTACAAAATTGCTACCCTAATGCTATTTTAAATGTATTTTGTGTGTGTGTTTTGTCCCTTATTTTTGTTTCCCTGTGTGCTCCTTAATAAAAGATAACGTTAACACAAATGATGCTTCTGTCAGGTTGCCTAGAGCCTCTCGTCTTAAGCTGGCTCTTTATTTTCAGTAGTGTTACAGAAATAAAGTATAAAATATTTTTCTCAAGGTCTGAAGACAGTCATTCTTCTGAAAGTGCTCATGTGGTGATATCCTTGTTTCGATGTGATCACAAGCTAATTTCTATTAAAGAGAAAAATTGTGCTGTTCAGTTGGTATTTTTGGACTTAGAAATGCCTGCAACTTGGTCTTGATGTGCTGACAGGTTACAGCCCCCCCACATCACTGTGGTTCAGAATGATGCCGTTTGTGAAAGCATTCTTTATCCTTGTTTTCTAAACTTTCTATGAACTGTTGATAAATTTACTTGGTCTACGAACTAAGGTCTCTTAGAACTTAAGACTGTTGTAGTAAAGGGAGAAATCCAAATTTGTTAACTCACGTGTATGCTTGAAGAAAACTGATTGGCTGTTGTTATATATAGGTAAACCCCAGTGATAGGTACCATCTTATGCCTATAATTACACCAGCATACCCACAGCAGAACTCTACCTACAATGTGTCCGTTTCCACACGGATGGTCATGGTTGAGGAATTTAAACAAGGTAAGTATTATCTTATGCTCTCTATATAAATGTTTTCAAATGGATTTAAAATAGTTCCATTATGGGTATGATGTGGGGGGGGGGGGTGGGGGGGGGGGGGGGGGGGTTGCGGAGAGGGGGAAGGTGGGAGGATATTAAATAGCTTCTTGGCATGAGACTCTCTTCTGAGGGAGGTAGAACTTAGCCTGTTATGCTTATGTGGCTTAAAGTTCCAAATAGTAGAGACATCTGCAGATATCTCCTTCACTCTTAAAAAAAAGAGGGTAATTAATTAGAATGCCTCATGCTCTGAAAATGAGAATTAATGGTACAATTTTTTTTGTTTATTTAATGGCATTAGATTGTGTCATGCCACATGTAAGATTAGTGTAGTAGTCCCACTTGATGGCCGTTTTAGGCCTAATACAAGGCAATATACTTGTTCAGAGATGTGTCCTCTAGATTTCTACTAGTAATCCACTTGGATAATTGTAGTAGATAAGGGAAGATGTTATCAAAGCAAGAAGTAGACTTGATGCAGAGAGCAACTATCAGTAGCGCTCTCAGGCAGAGCAGTAGCTTATTGTCTCACTGCTTCTTTGCCTTGTTGTACAATGTCTTGCACAACACGTAATTTGAGTTATGTAAGGAAAAAGATCTCTATCTTCTTTTGAGTAGTTACTGTGGCATACACAAAAGATAAAATTGAGCTGTGTTACACTGCAAAGCAAAAATACGTGAAATCATCAGTCTGATCAATTAACCTACATTTCTAAACATATTTTATTGAGATTCTTTTTAATAATATGATTTGTGTAATTACCACTTAAGGTATGACTGGAATATAAAGCTTGTTGATAACTTCCTTTGAATTGGAAAAGGGGAAATATTTTGTGGTAAACTTTGCGAAGTTAATAAGCTGTTTTTACTCTGGGTACTAAACTGTATTTAAAAAAAAAAGTTTAAATGTTTTTTTATAATTTAGGTCTTGCTATCACAGATGAAATTTTGCTGAGTAAGGCAGAGTGGTCCAAACTTTTTGAAGCTCCAAACTTCTTTCAAAAGTACAAGTATGTATTTTATGGCATGGCAGAATATTTTAAGTTTTATCAGTTAAATTATCTAATGATGCTCTGTAGCACAGGATCTTAAATATACATATATTAGGCTTCCAAAAAGTTTTTTGTTAGGATTTTTCTATCTGGGGGGGGGTGTGTGTGTGTGAATGCACTACTGTCCTTTCTGTTAGAAAATTGAATAATTTCCTCAGATTTTTTTTTTTTTTTGTTTAACATGTATTTCAGGAACATATTAGTCCCTAACCAGATATTTAGAATGTCACCAGTTAACTATAAAATTGGTATGCTACCAATAAAATTGAAGACATATCAGCTGGTTTGACTAAAAGAAATGTTCTTAAGTGGTGTCAGTAAGCATTCTAAAAATGGGTCTTGCCTCCCAGGAAACAAGATATTAAAAGAACTAATTCTGAAGGTCAATATTTAAGATGAATACATACTTGAAACTGTGTGTTTTCTTCTGTCAATATAGTCAACAGTTCACTCTGATAATAAAAGATATTTTTGCAATTGTGTTGACTAACTGCCAGATGTACTAGTTATTACTAGATTTTTTTTTTTTTCATTAAAGCTTAAGGCTTTTGGCTCTTTATTAATACTCTTTCACACTTAGCTTCTCTAATTTTGTAATGTCTCTAAGGGAAATACTGAAGTCCACACTTCACATCTTTAGGGTTTCTAGTAATATGCTTGTGGGGCAGAAGCTTGTTAAATGTATATGGACTTGCTGAAAGTTGTATTTTTATAATAAATATGGATTATTAAAATACGGACTACATCTTCTTTGCCCTCAGTTGAAATTGGAGACCCATTTTTCTTGAATCAAGATCAAATATATTTTACACTTGTTTCTGTGTTGGGTGGTTGGTTGGTTATGTACTAATCTAAACAAGATTGAAATATACAGTTTCCCCCATTAAAAGAGACTGATGACCTTCATAATGTGTCTGTGTTTTGTTTCTATATCTTTTGCATGATAAAAGCTTTAAAACATTTGGATGGCTTTTATGTTATACCTTGGAGATTAAGTTTGAAAACACTTAAGAGCACTGTAAAGTTATATTATCTTTTGAAGTTAAAAATGGGCTTCAGACAAACTAGTTTCTGCACAAGACGTTGCTAATAAGTTCCCTAGTACATTTTCTTTGTTTCCTCCAAAATTAGGAAATTGTAGGAAATGTTAAATGTCATTTGAAATATCCATTTTAATATAGTTTTCTGTATATCGGCTTTAGCCATTTAATCAATTTTAGCAGTAAAATCTTCTCTTGTCAACATTAAATATCCAGGTTTTGCATGTTTTGCACAAAATGTCTTTTGCTTTAATTTTTTTTTTTTTAAAAATTGTGGAATGGTATTATGGAGCCTGCTTTAATTTAAATCACCCACGATTTTCTTTGGTTTACCTTAGTAAGTTAACTTACAGCTTTGGTTAGTAACCTTTACAAAATAAATCATTATATACAGTCATCATTATGCAATAAATGTAGCTTTGGTCAAATCGCCATCTGAAAGCTAGATGTTTTGAATTTTTTTTTTCCCCTCTT